GTTAAAAAGTTTTTCTAATTTCATTAAATATTCATGTGTTGTACCAGAAATCACTTCAATACAGTAGGAAATTACCGAAAATAACATAGAATGAGCAAGATTTCTCTTTACAAATAAGGGCAAATAGAAATCAGTTGAGTGTAATTTTCGGAGCATATTTATAACTTTGGGGTACAGTGCATCAATATGCAAAGAAAAATCAAGCTTGGCATCAAGAACAACACCTAAACAATTTATGCGGTCAACAAAATCCACCGCTACACCATTAACCTGTATATTAATACCGCTATTCAGTCGGCAAGGTGAACCAAATGTCATTGCTTTTGTCTTAGAAACATTTACTACTAGATTATTATTTCTCAACCAACGTGAAATATTACCTAATGTTGTATTTATGGTATTCTCTAGTTGAAAGTCTGATTGACCTTTAAAAAATAAATGAATGTCGTCCGCATACATAAACGGATGACAGTCGCAATTAGTTAGAATGCTACTAATGTCATTGACATATAAAACAAAAAGAAGCGGACCTAAAATTGAACCTTGAGGTACCCCGCTGTAAATATTACGTAAGCTGGATGCCTCGCCATTATATGAAACATATTGAGAACGTCCAGATAAATATGAAGCAATTAATTTACAAGAATTACTGTCAAATGCATATAATGAGAACAGTTTCTCAATCAGCATTGAATGATCCACACAATCGAATGCTTTCGAAATATCCAGCGCAACAAGAACACCACTATCACGTCCATCAATTGTCTCTCTAATCAAGTCAGTTAAGTCTACTAAAAGTGAAGTAGTGCTGAGACCACGCCTAAATCCATATTGATAATTAATCAAAAATTTATTGTCATCTATAAATGATTGAATCTGCAGCCTTATGAGATGTTCGGCAACTTTAGAAAGCGACGGTAGTATACTTATAGGTCTCAAATTCTCAATAGTGTTCCTTCCTTTATTTTTGGAAATAGGGAAAACCCTAGCAATTTTCCAGTCATTCGGGAAGGTCGATGTTGTAAACATTGTATTAAAAATATAGGTGAAATGTCTAGAAATATATGGATAGATTAATTTCAAAAATTTAATGGGTACTCCATCAACACCTACAGACTTCGATTTGACCTGCTGAAAGGCTTCAAATACATCTATCTCGAAAACACAATTAAAAGAAAATGTATGACATTGTCTATCAATATCTGGAAAATCAACAATAACATTGCCAACACCATTTTCTTGAGTAAAATATTCATTCAAAACATTAACATCAAAGTCAGTTGAGAGGTTGACGTCATTGTCAACGATACCACCGGCATGAAGTTGTCTCCAGAGATGAGTAGCATTTAGTCCATTGAAAATTTGTTCATAATATTTTTTACGTTCCTTTCTAAGAATAGACTTAGCTTAAGAATATTTTTGATTCATTAATGCAAAATATCTTTCCTTTTTGCCAGGCTTATGGCGATGACGAAAGTACGGCTATGTTAACCCAGGAGTTGATGGTCTACCTTGCCATGTTTATTCGCACGGAACCACAACTTTTCCACGAAATGTTACGTCTGCGTGTCGGCTTAATTATTCAAGTTATGGCCAAGGAATTGTCTCGTACCCTAAACTGTGATGGCGAAGCTGCTTCGGAACATTTGTTGAATTTATCACCCTTTGAAATGAAGAATTTATTGTATCACATTTTAAGTGGCAAGGAGTTTGCCGTCAGCAGTGGTAAGTTAAAATGATACACCAACATTTTCTACAAAAAGGCCTTGTTACCTCTTGACCTTCCATGAGAATATTTTTTGGACTTCTATAAGAAGACCAATTCGCCTTTTAAGATAAGACCAAATCGTCTTCTATGAGAAGACCAACTCATCTTCCATGAGAAGACCAATTCGACTTCTACGAGAAGACTAATTCGTCTTCTATGAGAAGACCAATTCGTCTTCTATGAGAAGACCAATTCGTCTTCTATGAGAAGACCAATTCGTCTTCTACGAGAAGACCAAATCGTCTTCAATGAGAAGACCAATTCGTCTTCTTTGAGAAGACCAATTCGTCTTCTATGACAAGACCAAATCGTCTTCTACGAGAAGACCAAATCGTCTTCTACGAGAAGACCAAATCGTCTTCTACGAGAAGACCAAATCGTCTTCTACGAGAAGACCAAATCGTCTTCTACGAGAAGACCAAATCGTCTTCTATGAGAAGACCAAATCGTCTTCTATGAGAAGACCAAATCGTCTTCAATGAGAAGACCAAGACCTTTTGGTCTTCTATAAGAAGACCTGTTGGTGTTCTTTGAAAAGACCTTTTGGCCTTTTATGAGAAGACCTCTTGGCCTTCTATAAAAAGGCTTCTTGAACTTCTTTGAGAAGACCTCTTGGCCTTTTATGAAAAGACCTCTTGGCCTTCTATGAGAAGACTTCTTGCTCTTCTATGAGAAGACTTCTTGGCCTTCTTTTAGAAGACCTTCTGGCCTTCTATGGAAAGACCTCTTTGGCTCCTATGAAAAGACCTATTGGTCTAAGTGAGAAGACCTCTTCGTCTTCTACGAGAATACCTCTTGGCCTTCTATGAGAAGTCCTTTTGACATTCTATGAGAAGTCTTTTTGGACCACGAGAATACATCTAGGCCTTTTACGGAAATATCTATTGGCCTTCAATGAGAAGATTTCTTCGACTTCTATGAGAAGAAAGGAGAAGGCCTTCGAGATGTCCTCATCGTTTTCTATGTGAATATCTATGGGTCTTCTATGAGAACTTTGATCTACTATGAAAAGACTTTTTGGTCTTCTACGAAAGAAGAACCTAAACTTGTTTTATTTTCTAAGAGCGCATCTTTTCGCAATATTTTAACACATTCTTGTGTGTTTTCTTTTTTATTCTCTCCCGTCCCCCCACAGTTGCTCGCGGTAATCTCTCCATTGTTAGCTGCAAATCGAGTCGCGTTAGCAAAAAATCACAAATTGGTTTGGGTGATCCCGAAGGTGAGGATGCCATAATTGCCACCATTGATGATCGACAAGGACAATGGTTGAGACGACGACGTTTAGATGGCGCTTTAAATCGTGTACCACGTGATTTCTATTCACGTGTCTGGAGTGTACTGGAAAAATGCCAAGGCTTAGCCATTGAAGGACGTATTCTGCAACAAAGTTTGACACAAGAAATGACTCCGGGCGAGTTGAAATTTGCTCTAGAAGTTGAAACGGCATTAAATCAAATACCCCAACCGGAATATCGTCAGCTGGTGGTAGAGGCTCTAATGGTCTTGACACTGGTCACCGAACATAATATGGTGCCTAATTTGGGTGGTATTATCTATGTGGAACATTTGGTTCACAAAGCCAATCAATTGTTTTTGGAGGATCAACGCAAGGTGCAGGGCGATGCAACTTTGTGCTGTGCCAAATCCAAGGATGGCAATCAACAGCATCAGGCTGCATCGGGTATGTTGTTGTGCGGTGGTGCTGCATATATTTGTCAACATTTGTATGATAGGTGAGGATTTAAATGAAATCTAGTGACAATTAAAATAAATGTTTTCGTTTTGTTTTAGTGCTCCCAGCGGTAGTTATGGTACCATGACCTATATGGCCCGGGCCGTGGCTTTGGTCTTGGATTGTGTTCCTAAACATGGCGAAATGGAATGCGCCATTTGCTAATCCCCCACATACGTTTGCTTCATGAAGAATATTGTTGTCGAAATTAAATTATTTTCTCTAGTTTTAGTTTTGTTTCGTATCATTTATTTTATTTTTTATTTTTTGCTGAAACGCCGCTATACATCAGATAGATGTAGGATGTATATGAAATGTTTGGATTGTATTTGTTGTTGGTTCTTTGTTGCTACAACTCGAAATGTAATACATAATTCGTTTCTTGCGTTAACAAATGAATATATATAAAGACCTTGTTGGTAGCCTGGAGAGCAGTTTTAAAACATAACTACCTACTTTCTTTCACTCGTATTATTTTGAAAGTATAGTTGTGATCACATGATATCTGCTCTGCCGCTTTATTACATTTACATTCAATTGGGTCCAAACATTTTTATTATTATTATAGTTAGTAGTCAATTTTAAAATGTAAATTGCATGAAGAAACCTTTCGTGATGATGTCAATGCAGTTTAGAAAAAAAAAAACAATTTGAAATAAACTTTTAATGTTTTTTTGAAATTTTTAACTTAGGAAAGTGTGTTTTACTTTCGTGTAGTCTGTTGTTATAAAATATATTCCGAGCAGAAAATATCCATCTTGAAGAAGCGGTGTGTTGGTCTTCTATGAGAAAAGCTATTGGTCTTCTATGAGAAGACCTATTGGTCTTCTATGAGAAGAGCTCTTAGTCTTTTATGAGAAGACCTCTTAGTCTTCATAAAAAGTCCTGTTGGTCTTCTAAATAGAAGACACTTCTTCTATGAGAATAACTTTTGGTCTTCTATGACAAGACCTATTGGTCCTCTTAGTCTTCATAAAAAGTCCTGTTGGTCTTCTAAACAGAAGACACTTCTTCTATGAGAATAACTATTGGTCTTCCATGAGAATAACTATTGGTCTTCTATGAGAAGACCTATTGGTCTTCTATGAGAAGACCTATTGGTCTTCTATGAGAAGACCTATTGGTCTTCTATGAGAAGACCTATTGGTCTTCTATGAGAAGACCTATTGGTCTTCTATGAGAAGACCTATTGGTCTTCTATGAGAAGACCTATTGGTCTTCTATGAGAAGACCTATTGGTCTTCTATGAGAAGACCTATTGGTCTTCTATGAGAAGACCTATTGGTCTTCTATGAGAAGACCTATTGGTCTTCTATGAGAAGACCTATTGGTCTTCTATGAGAAGACCTATTGGTCTTCTATGAGAAGACCTATTGGTCTTCTATGAGAAGACCTATTGGTCTTCTATGAGAAGACCTATTGGTCTTCTATGAGAAGACCTATTGGTCTTCTATGAGAAGACCTATTGGTCTTCTATGAGAAGACCTATTGGTCTTCTATGAGAAGACCTACTCCAATAATTCATCTACGCCCAATAATCATGCCAACATTACTATTAATATATCTCAATCTGAAGGAATGCTGGAAGAAGGTCGCGTCGTTACGGTTCGCGATTTGTTGAAGGGATTGTATGAGAAGGCCTGCCAGCAAAAACTCTGGGGGCTTGTACGTCACACGGCCGGTATGTTGGGCAAACGTGTTGAAGATCTAGCCAAGGCTGTTACCGATTTGTTGGTGCGACAAAAACAGGTTACCGTTGGTATGCCGCCAAATAATGAGTACACCATTACGGCGCCATTGCCCGAGGCGGATCTAAGGCAATTGATACATGATGTGAGTATTAAAATATTAACTTAATTTATTTATGAATATTTTTGATTCATTAATGCAAAATATCTTTCCTTTTTCCAGGCTTATGGTGATGACGAAAGTACGGCCATGTTAACCCAGGAGTTGATGGTCTACCTTGCCATGTTTATACGCACGGAGCCACAACTTTTCCACGAAATGTTACGTCTGCGTGTCGGCTTAATTATTCAAGTTATGGCCAAGGAATTGTCGCGTACCCTAAACTGTGATGGCGAAGCTGCTTCGGAACATTTGCTGAATTTATCACCCTTCGAAATGAAGAATTTATTGTATCACATCTTAAGTGGCAAAGAGTTTGCCGTCAGCAGTGGTAAGTTAAAATTATACACCAACATTTTCTATAAAGAAGGCCTTTTTACCTCTTGACCTTCCATGAGAACATTTTTTGGACTTCTATAAGAAGAAGACTTCTATGAGAACACCAATTCGTCTTTTAAGATAAGACCAAATCGTCTTCTATGAGAAGACCAATTCGCCTTTTAAGATAAGACCAATTCGTCTTCTATGAGAAGGCCAACTCATCTTCCATGAGAAGACCAATTCGACTTCTACGAGAAGACCAATTCGTCTTCTATGAGAAGACAAATACTGCATTGACATCATCACGAAAGGTCTGAAATAAACTTTTAATGTTTTTTTGAAATTTTTAACTTAGGAAAGTGTGTTTTACTTTCGTGTAGTCTGTTGTTATAAAATATATTCCGAGCAGAAAATATCCATCTTGAAAAGCTATTGGTCTTCTATGAGAAGACCTATTGGTCTTCTATGAGAAGAGCTCTTAGTCTTTTATGAGAAGACCTCTTAGTCTTCATAAAAAGTCCTGTTGGTCTTCTAAATAGAAGACACTTCTTCTATGAGAATAACTTTTGGTCTTCTATGACAAGACCTATTGGTCCTCTTAGTCTTCATAAAAAGTCCTGTTGGTCTTCTAAACAGAAGACACTTCTTCTATGAGAATAACTATTGGTCTTCCATGAGAAGACCTATTGGTCTTCTATGAGAAGACCTATTGGTCTTCTATGAGAAGACCTATTGGTCTTCTATGAGAAGACCTATTGGTCTTCTATGAGAAGACCTATTGGTCTTCTATGAGAAGACCTATTGGTCTTCTATGAGAAGACCTATTGGTCTTCTATGAGAAGACCTATTGGTCTTCTATGAGAAGACCTATTGGTCTTCTATGAGAAGACCTATTGGTCTTCTATGAGAAGAAAGAAAAGGCCCATTGGTCTTCTATGAGAAGACCTAATGGTCTTCTATGAGAAGACCTAATGGTCTTCTATGAGAAGACCTCTTGGTCTTCTATGAGAATACCTATTGGTCTTCTATGAGAAGACTGATTAGTCTTCCATGAGAAGACCTATTGGTCTTCTATGAGAAGACCGATTAGTCCTCTACGATAAGACCTATTGTCATATATGAGAAAACCTATTAATCTTGAGAAGATCTCTTGGTCCTCTATGAGACTACCTATTGATTCTCTATGAGAAGACGTTTTGGTCTTCTATAAGAGACCTTTTCGTCTCCTCTGCGAAAACCTTTCGGCCTTTTATGAGAAGAGCTTTGCGAATTCTATAAGTGACATTTTAATATTGGTGAACTTGGTAGGTACGCCAAGTTTTTTTTTTTCTTTTTTTTTTAAATTATTTGCTGGTGTTGTTTTACTTGTCCCCCCGTTTTGATTGCAGATAATTCTGTGAGAAACAATTTGACTATTATCTCTATAGGTTTACCTTCGAAAAATCAAAGTCCATACTGAGTTTCTCGGCGTATTGACCATTTTGAAACAGTCTTTTTTATTTGTTAAAATTATAAAAACTAAATGAGGTTTTGAAAGTAAAAAGCCGTTATTTAAGTGTATTATAAATACATAAGGTGTAGCTTGGTTTATTTATTTTTCACATACTTTAAGACACATTTAAAATTTGTGTGGCGTAAAAGAAAAATAGTATTTTTTTCTTGGTTAAAAAAGAAGCGTTGTGGAGGCGAACTTGTTTTGGCTTTGCCAAACATAAATGCGACACCCACATAGTTTTTTTTTTAAATAAAAAGTAGCGCAAATCATAGACAGGGGCATAGTAAAAAGTACTGAACGTAGTAGCTTAATATAATACGATAGGATGAAGTTTTAATAATTTTGTGTATTTTTTTTGTTGTTGTTTGTTTGTTTGAGGTTAATAAAATAAACATTTGTTTTAACAAGAGAAAATTAATATAAACACATTGTTGTAAATGTAAAGAGAACATGAGTTGTGTGTAGATAATGTAAGTAAAATAGGATGATGATTGACTTAACAATAACCACGGTCGGGAACACGTCTTCTGGGGGCACACTTAATGATATCATCTACACGCAATATCATTTCGGCGGCTTCGGAGGCAGACATAAGAACTTGACGTTTGACAGCAAAGGATTCGGTAATGCCCAATTCCTTCATATCACCAACTTTGCCCTTGTCCATATCCAGACCCATTGTGGTCTTGCCTTGGGCGTGGGCAGCACGCAATTCGGAAATCAATTGAGCAGAATCATAACCAGCATTGTCGGCAATAGCAGTTGGCAAAGCCAAGAGAGCACCTGTAAGAAAAAATGATCCGTAAATAAATGAATTAGAAAACACGATATCTTCCTTCGTAACACTTACGTGCAAAAGCTTCCATGGCAATGGCTTCCTTGCCAGCTGTTTCGGCAGCCTTTTTGAACACGGCATTTGCCATCAAAGCCTCTGAACTGCCACCACCATAAATGACACGAGACTCCTTAACTGTGGCCGCCAAAACACACAAAGCATCGTGCAACGAACGATCAGCTTCGTCCAAAATTTGTTGTGTAGCACCACGAATAATAATGGTACAGGCTTCACCCAATTTGACTCCGCTGAAGCGCAACAATGTATCCTCACCAATCATCACCTGTTCAATGAGGTCACATTCGCCCAACTTCACCATAGAGGGGTTATCAAAAGTCGAAACGATTTCACCGCCTGTTACCAAAGCCAAACGTTCGATACCATCAAAATCGGCATGTTCAATGGCCATAACTCCAGCATCGGCAAACAGCTGTTCAGGGTAGTTGTAAATCAACTGACGATTGATGAATACATTACAATTGTGATTGAGAATCTTTTGGACTTTGTCCTTCATTTTTTCCTTTTCAGCCATTTCTAAATCGGCAATTTTAGCTAAGGAATCTACTTTAATGGTACTGCCGAACACTTTGATTTTATCTGTGTCCATGGGGGTGTTGGCAATGAGAATTTTGGCTTTCTCAATCTAAAAATAGGTGAATTATATTAGGCATAGATTAGAATCGTATTCAATAGAGGATGTTAAATATAAAATAGGCATTTTGAGATCACTTATATACACATCAGATTATTAGACGTACTAAATTATTGTAGGTAACAGGGTTGTCTATAGACTCTTAAAGCCTCTTTACTGGGTCATCTTAATATTCCTTTGAAGTTCGTCCGAAGATTCCCATCAAGTAGACGACTCCAAAGAGTGCCTATAAATGGCCCGGAAATGAGTTTTTACATGACCCAGAACGGAGTCTTTATACGAGCCAAAAAGAAGCGTTTAGACGACCCAAATTGTTTTTAAAGGCCCAAAAAAAGTATCTAAACGACTTTGAAGCCATTCTTTATGGGAGTTTTCAGGTCGTTTTCAGTTCGTCTAAAGACTGCCTTTTTGGGTCATCTAAGTTGTTCCTTCCAGAGTCGTTTAAAGACTACCTTTTCGGACATCTAAACACTTCCTATTGGGTTGTTTAAAGGCTCCCTTCAGGACCATTAATAGACACTGTTTGGAGTCGTTTAAAAACTCCATCCTGGGTGGTCTGTAAACTTCATTCGGAGTCGTAAAAGAGCCTTAATTCTAGGCCGATAACAAAATGTCACTGTTTGATGCTTGAATACACACTTCTCATTCTCACATTTGTTGATTATTGTAACTCCATCGAACTCGTCAAAATGGCTGTGATATGTATAAGAAATGCAACATAATTCACAACCAATTCGACGCGTCGATAGAGCACACTTTGTTCTCCAAGCCTAACGTAATTACATATTTATAAAATATTCCAACACACTTACCCTTTGTGGTTGATGTACACCGGGCTTCTTGTCCAGCAAGAATCCCTCATCCAAGAACGAATCATCCAAAGTACCACCTGTCTTTTTGATAATTTGAATGGCATGCAATTCTCCGGAACCCTTCAAACGCAAAACAGCATCTACAGCCAACTTGGCAAAGAAGTCTTTGTGTTGATGTAAAATCTTGGAGGATAATGTAGTGCGGGCAATATTCATAAGATCTTCCTTGAATTTAGCATCATTGGCGGAGTTGTCTTGGGATGCTTGGGTGAGAGCTTCACGGGCAATATTAGTAGCCATACGCCAGCCGGCAATAATGATTTGTGGATGAAGCTTTTGATCAACCAATTTTTCAGCTTCACGCAACAGCTCGGCGGCCAACACCGTAACGGAGGTGGTGCCATCGCCAACTTCTTCATCTTGAACACGAGACATGTCGACTAAAATCTTGGCGGCAGGATTATCGACACCAACGCTTCTCAAAATGGTGGCACCATCATTGGTGACTTCCACTTTGCCAGCTTGGCGGCCGTGAGCCACGAGGATTTTGTCCATACCCTTGGGGCCCAAGGTGCTTTTCACCAAATCACCAATGGCAATAGCACCGATGAAAGATGACAAACGCGCCATTTCGGCCTTTTCTTCCTGTGCCTCATTTTTGAGAACACGGACGGGATTTAATGACATCTCCTAAAAATAGAAAAATAGTCAAAATACATTATTAAAAGGGGATGAAGGAGTGTAAAGGGGAGGGTAGCAGATGGTAAACAGCTGTGATGGGAAATAAAAATGTCATTGATCTTTTGGCTGTTACTGTACTGTCAAATCTATATTGTTGTTGTTGTTTTTGTACTTGAGCAGACGACAGGACACAAACGTTTTTGCCGGCAGCAGACTCAAACTATTCATTTGTACGTTGGCAACCCTATGTAACATAAACCGTTTTAAGGAGTGTGACTTTTCGGCATAACCTAACATTTTTCATACGGCAAGAGATTTTCTATTCCAAACAAAAGGAATTATTTGTATAATTAAAAAAAAAAACAAATGATTGAATCATTCTTAAATATTCAATTTAAAATTCTTATGTTTCAAACACACATTTATGGCATCTTATATGGGTGTAAAATTTATGTATATGCATGAATCATACACCAACACGCCGTTTACCACCAAATGGTTATATCTCGAATTTTCGACATTCGTTTGTAAAAATCTTGATCGGCAGTAGAATTTCTTTATGGTTATTAAACAAATTTCATAAATTTACTTGGAAAAATCATAGTTTTTGCGAATTATCTCGAATAAAATTCTCACGTGCATCGTCTAAAACTCTACAATACACACACACAGCTTACTGCCGCTGCCTGTCTCATTCATACGCCTCGCCGCTAACACCACCGCAGCAGCAGCTGCTGCCGCTAGCTATTGTCGATGACTTTTTCACTTTATTAAATGATGCGGTCATTGTGCTCCTCTGTCGCGCAATACAAATTTCTCATTTTCTGCGTCCGGAGCTAACACCCGGCAATTTCACATTGTTTTATTTTCCATATACACACGAAAAATCAATTCCATTTTATTTCCTTTTAGTTATTGTACGATAAACTTTGTTTTTTAATTCAATTCATTGTGATTTTTACAGGATTTTCATTAAATTATTACCATTTTATTTTGTTCGAATTTTATGCACTACACACGATGACAAATGGCGATGACAATGACAAATGGAGTTGGTAGCAGATTAGGGATGCGCAAGTTATTAGTACAGTAATCGAATAATCGATTATATGGAGGAAAATAATCGAAAAATCACATTGTTGTTAAATCGATTTTCTTGTTAATCGGTGAGGAGACAAATAGCGTTTAGTTTTTTAAGTGTGTTTTAATAGAAAGTGGGAAAAACAAGTTTAATATATGCCGTTTATTCCCCAATACAAAATGTATGTGACACTGGCCTAATTTTTTAAGGTATGTTAATATAGTTACATGTTAAATTTAATTATCGGTAGGATGTTATCGACAAGTTTCATAGTTTTTAGCTTTCATATGTATTCTAATATTCGATTTTTATAGTAATATTTTATTTATTTATATATTCGGTTTTTATAGACTCCACCATAACATATATATATTTTGGATGAACATAAAATTGTTGTCTAGATATTTGGTCTCTTCCCGAACTGCAAGAATGCAAACGCTTTTACTACGATAAGCGGTTTCCCTTTATGATATCGAAGAAAGTTGCAAAACTAGTACATTCTTGCAGGTACTGGAACAGAGCAATTATAAATAAATAAAGTAGTTGAATCTTTTAGGTTCTGGAACAGACCAAACAGACGAAGAAATGCTCTCACCGTTTATCTTCGAAAAAAGTCGGATCAGCAGATGTCGTCTATATCGTTTTAGTGGTTTGAGAATCTTGAAGTCACTAAATTCTAAAATGTTAAAAATATCATAAACTATGGGATATTTGTCATTTGAATATTGTTCCATAATATAAGATAATTGAAGATTTCGTGATGGCATTGAAAAATATCGGAATAATCAAGTAAAATTCTTGAAAAAACGATGAAATGTGTTTTCGTAGTCGAGTGGGTCGTCTGCGTTAATCAGTATGTTGACTATGCAAAACATGCTGACAGCCACCTGGATAAATAGTCGAAACTAACTTTTCGTTGTCTATATTTGCATTTGTCTATGGCCGTACCAAAAGATTTGCTTTGCGTACATAAATATCCAACTTCTCGCCATTGTCAGGCATATTGTAGGGCCGTGACACCTAAATACATTTTAAATTCCTGCTAAGTATTTGTTAGTCCGAAAAATATGTTAAGGGCAAAACAGAATGAACGCTCTACACGTTATTTTACGTTTGACATCATCAAAATTAACAACTACCAAGAGAATTTATATGTCGATAATTCACAACGCGTCCATTTTGCGTTGGCCTTAAGGTAAAGTAGTATAGACGCGCTTCCCGTTAATTCATATCTCACATAATCGCTAAAACAACATTTTGAAAAGTACGCCATCTACATTTGACTGTAAACTTGTTATAGATAACACTGTATTTCCAGCAAATATGTTTTTTGTCTTCGATTAATATCATCGTAGTGTAGGTAGTACTGTTGTTATGTCTTTGCTATATACTGCATTATCAAAATTATCTCTCTGATTTGGTGACATCGCACCCATACTAAATTATACAACTGCTCCCTCAGTGTGCCATCGGATGTTGAGCAAAGCGCAGCACAAGTGATTTAATTAAAATAAAAATGGATTTATTGTTTTATCAAACGGTTGTATGTATAAAAAACTAAAGAATATGTTTATTTGTGATGTCGTTTCGATAAATTACGCGAATTGCATAGGTAAATCGAATGAAATGTCGGGACGGTACGGTAGCAAGAATGTGGTGTTTTATTGTGATTTTTATTCAAATTAAGTTAAATTCTTGTGTTCGTTGAAATAATTGTTAACAGAATCCTCAGAAAAGTGATTCCAAATGAAAAGTTTTGCAATTTTATCTGCTTATTTTAAGAATATAGAAAAAATTAATTTATTGGCCAAAAAATTTGCAGCGTCCATTGCAAATGTAAACAGAGAGCAAAACCAAAGAGAGCCAAAAGCAATAACGATGGTGAGTTAGAAATGAGCAGAATATGAATGTTGTTGATAAATAGCTGAAATCAAAACAAGGGGATTCTGTTGTAAATTCCTGTGGATAGCTTTTTTAAGAAAACAAGTGACCTGTACCAGAAAAATTAAAAATTATTAAAATATCTAATAAAATAAATATAAATATTATATTTTTTGTTAAAGTAGGTGTAAATAAATACAAAATAATCGCGAGTGTATCAATTTCTGTAGAAGCTTAGACACTTTAACCTTTTCAAAATTGTGGAAATATGATAATTAAAAAAAACAGTCTGGTCTACTTTGTTCTTGTTTTTTGTTAATGTCAGCCTTTGTGTACATACCAAATTTTGCAACTGTCCAGTCAGTGTGCCATCGGTTATTGGGCAAAGCGCAACACAAGTGATTTTATCTAAATTAAAATTTGTTTTATTCGTATATCAAACGGTTGAAATGTATAAAAAAGTATAAAAAATGTTTATTTGTCATGTCGTTTCGATAAATTACGCGAATTTCACCGGTAAATCGAATGAAATCTCGGGACGGTACGGTAGCAAGCATGTGGTGTTTTATTGTGATTCCATTCGAAAATTAAGTTAAATTCTTGTGTTCGTTGAAATAATTGTTAATAGAATCCTCGGAATAGTGATCCCAAATGAAAAATGTTGCATTTTTATGTGCATAAAAAATAAATTTACAATTTTAATTTATTGGCCAAAGAAATTTGCAGCGTCCGTTGCAAATGTAAACAGAGAGCAAACAGCAAAGAGAGCCAACAGTAATAATGATAATGAGTGAGAAATAAGTGCGTTGTTGGTAGAGAGCTAAAAGGCCAACCAAGAGAAGTTGTTACAACACAATTGTATTATTGTTTAAAAAAACATGTACAAAAATATATTTCATGGATGATCGTCAGAGTATATGTTTTAAATACATTTCGTATCTTAATGGTAAGTAAAAAAATTTATTTAAATAAATACACTAAAATAGTAAAATTTATTTATTTACACAAACTATCATTGACACTGTTACAAATTTACCATAGTATGTTAAGTTTGTCATTCCGTTTGTAACACCTCGAAATATACATTTTAGACCCCACAAAGTATATACATTCTTGATCAGCATGAAATTCTATGTCGATTTATCGATGTCCGTCCGTCTATCCGTCTGTAGAAATCACTGTAGGTTCCGAACGAAATGTATATTATGTCTGCAGTACTTTTGGTATTGAAAATGGGCCATGTAGGTCCACGTTTTGGTATAGCCCCCATATAACGGTACATCCCGATATTCGATATTTTGGTGATTTTAGCGACATTATTCACCGGAATTTTTTTCAAATATGGTATTTGAAGTTAGTAATGGATACTACAGACTAAGACAGAAAACTGTCTGTGCAGGTCCACGTCTTCGTATAACCCCCATTAACGGTACCTCCCGATATTCAGCATTTTTATGATTTTAGCTACATTCTTCACCGACTTTTTTAAGTTTTGCATTTGAATATTATAATGGCTTATGATAAAAGTTACCTATGCAGGTCCATGTCGTCGTATGTACTCTATATACATTCGGTATTTTTAAGATTTCAACAGAATTTTTAACGGATTTGATTAAACGATTAAAAACGAAAAAATATATTTAAAATGTTATTTATTCATATAACTTACAAATTACAATTTGATAGATAAATTATTAAAGCTAGAATAGAATTAATTAACATTTATTTAATTTATTGGCACAAAACGTACATATACTTGTCCGAGATCCTTCTTCTCGAATATCGCTGCATTGATGTGATTGTCCGGAGTATAATGAGCAAGGTTTTTCTGTGTTGCCTGTAAGAAGATTGAGATTAAATTATAGTAAAATTGTGTTTAGTCCTTGTGTCCTTCCTATCTCAAAAAGGGTTTCTGATTCCATATTGTGATATGCCTATCAAACTATTTCTGAAAGTTCCCGATTTCAATGATGAACCAACACATCATCATATATCTATCCAAAAATTGTGTAAAAATGGACGAACTGACCCACTTCTAGCTCAATCCATCCGATTGTTATTTCTATTATACCTTACATTATACTATGGAGTGTATACTAAGTTTGTCATTCCGTTTGTTTCATTTCGAAATTAGTATTTTAGACCCCCAAAGTATATATATTTAGTATTTGCAGTTACCATTTTCTTTGACAGGTAATTGTCTACCTAGGTCCATATAACATACATATTAAAGAACATCCCAAACTAAGTATTTTGTGGATTTACAAAATTTTCAACAGAATTTTTTGGAATGTATTAAATTTCATATTTCAAATAGGAAATTATGTATATGATCCCATATTTTTTTTTTAATTTTGTATAGTAAATTTCTAATAACATAATATAAGATACGCCTCTCAAATACTGGACCTCGCTCAAATACTGGACCTCGATACTGAAAAAGTTTAACTGTCCAAAGGGCGGAGGGTGTAAAAAGTTCGCCGGCTGAGTTTAGCAGTTTTTTATACCCTCCACCATACTATGGAGGTTACATAAAATGTTGTAATTCCGTTTGTAATTCCACGAAATACTTATGCCTGACCCAACCACGTATATATGTACAGGGTGAGATGAAAAAACTTCAACCAACTTCAGACTGCTGTCATTTCTAAGCCACTCGTCCGACAGCTGTTAAAATTATTCCAGCGTACAAAAGCATTTTGGTAAGAATTTTCCAAAAAAAATTATCCTTGATGGAATTTAAGAAAACCACAAGTGGCTATCGTTAGAGCACTCCAGCATTTAAATATGAATAAATCTTTTGTGTCTCGTCGTACCATCGCTCGTTAGCGTGATACTGGAACGTCAAGGAAGTGGACAGAAGAAAACAGCAACATCAGCAGAAATAGTTCGAAAAGTAAAGATGCGTCTTGGTCAAAACACGCTTCGCAGTGGCCGAAAATTGGCCCTTGAGCTGAACATATCGCAATATTCCATTGAAAAGCTCGGGGTAAAGCCATTGAAATTCCAAAAAGTGCAAGAACTTACACCGCAACAGAAAATAAATAGACTCAAAAGAGCTAATAAGTAGCTTCGCTTGGTCGAAAGTGGTGAACTGACGAATTTGATTTTCTCCGATGAGAAAACATTCGTTGTCCAGCAGTTTGTAAACAAACAAAATGATCGTGTCTTATTTAACAAAGAGGTCACCGGAAAATGTACGCATTGGTGATGGTGTGGGCCGCGATAACAGCCGATGGTCGCTCTCCGCTCGTATTAATCGACTGTGGCATCAGAATAAATACCGAATATTATCGCGGAAAATATTCTGGAGGGTGTATTAAAGCCTTGGACACGCAAACATTTTGGCGGCAGACCTTGGACATTCCAACAGGACTCAGCACCATCGCACTCAGCATGCGCCACCCAAGAATGGTTACAAAATGAGCTTCCTCATTTCATTTCCAGCGCACAATGACAACCATAATCTTCAGATACCAATCCGTTGGACTTTTGTGTCTGGAGTATTTTGGAAAACAAGGTTGACACTAAAAATATCAAAGTGTCGATCACCTTAAGCAAGCGCCTCGCCGGGAATGTGCCAAAATACCGCAGAGCAACATTCGGGCAGCGTGTGACGGTTTCATTGCCCGTTTGAAGGCCATAATTCATGCCAAAGGTGACCAATTCAAACGAACCTAAACTTATTCTAAAATTTGATGCTATTTCCGACATTTTTTGCTTTCATTCAATAAAATTTAAAAAAAAAAAATGTAAAAATTATGGCGTTTGACTTTGTTGCAGTTTTTTTATCTCACCCTGTAAATGCTTATAATTTCGGTAATTAAAGAACAATTTTGTCAAGTTGGCGACCAAAATAAAGTAGTCCCCTTTTAATTGAGACTTTTCATTCATAATTTTGAGTTTTAATTTTACCTATATTATCGGCTACTCAAAAAATGTTCTACAGGTGTATTTTAGGACGGATTTTCATTTAGAGATTTTTTGATTTTTTATTCCTCACCTGTAACTATGACAGCATCCAAATGTGAAATATAACTTTTCGCCAAACGTAATATCTCAATTTTCGACAATTTACGGTCATACGGTTCCGTGGGAATCAGGGTGCGCAGGGTGTTAAAGGCACTGTTTACACTGAAAATATATGGACTTCTTTTAAATTCACTCAATTTTAAATATTTACACTTCAAATTCCTTCTATCATACCTTTGAGTTCGACAACGTTCACGAGCATTTACTGCATGTCTGGGTTTGCCATTCGATGAATCAGATTCTGAGTGGCTTATACGACTATTCGAACACATATCCATTTGACCATCATAGTTCGTATAGAATTCCATGGCACGATGAATTTGAATACCGTATTGATGAAAAATTAATAAATTCTCTAAATATTTTTTAAGTTTTGTCGGTTATGCAGATCTTTTCTTGTAATTTGTTGTTGATGGCTTTCACCCACACAAGTGACTGAAATCATTACATTGTTCTCGACGGCACTTATAGTCACTCACTGGCTAGTTGTTAGCTCGCTCATTCAGTGAGTGTGGCAGGCAGGCCGCCTGTCATTGGGTATTCCCCACTTCTCCACAGCCTCCTTGTAGTGAGAATGGTCTCACTAAGATCGTTGGACATTGTTTTGTTTGTTTTAATCATCATTGCCATCATCACCACGGCAGTTGTGGAACATTTAGTGAGAATAGAATAATTTTTTGTTTTTATTTTTTGAGGGATATCATCAACAACAAGAGAGGATTTTAATGGACATTTGAGATGGCTACTGTGTTTTTGTTATTTTTTTGTGGGTTCGAAATTCTGTACGGCAGAAACAAACGCACATTTGTACAAACACACACAAATTTATGAATTATTTTGTGGCATTAGTGTTATTGTTTTTGGGGGCAACCAACCAACCATCCATTCAGCCCATCCACATGCGCTCGCGCACTGCCATAAAACTAAGAAGAGAGGAAAAAACTCTTGGTCGAATGAGGAGAACTACAAAGATCTGTAAAATGAATTAAGTCATTAACGACGACAAATTGTCCATACAAACACTTGTTGGTTGTGGAAGATGTATGTGAAATACCGATTTCGAGGGTGGTTAAGGTGAGGAAGTAAAATGGACCAAAAGATGACTACTATGGGTAAAATACAAAAAAATGATCTCCAGTAAATGGGCGCGAATATAAAATCCTTGGAAACTTTGTTAATATAAGTCTTCGTTTCGGAATAAAAATATCCTTAACAATTTAAAATAGGACCAACTTTTTAAATAGCCGCCATCTGTGAAAAGAATCTGAAAATGAAAACCTGAAAAAAATCAATGGAAAACATGATAGCTCACTATCTGGACATATGCTTTAGGAATCGTCGAGAGATGCTATGGCATTGGATAACTATTAAAGTTTTTGATCATAATTCCGAAAAAAATCAGACATTTCATTCATTTTTTATAACCTCCATTTTCTGGAGAATATATATAATTCGTCATTCATTTGTAACTCATCGAAATTAAAACGAGTTAAATAGTATCAGTCGGTTTTGCCGACAGATGTATACCCCCAGCCTTGATTCAAACTGTTGACCCGTTATGGGGGAGGTTCCGAAGCAGTTGGACAATATTGACCAATTCGTATCTGACCTAAGACTTATAAAAACATTACAACGTGTTTTGGGTTTGGACTACAGGGTGAGATAAAAAAATTGCAACAAAGTCAAACGTCATAATTTTTACAATTTTTTTTTTTAAATTTTATGTCGGAAATAGCATCAAATTTTAGAATAAGTTTAGATTTGTTTGAATTGGCCACCTTTGTTACGAATTATGGCCTTCAAACGGCCAATGAAACCGTCACACGCTGCCCGAATGTTGCTCTGCGGTATTTTGGCCCATTCCCGGCGAAGCGCATGCTTGAGGTGATCAACACTTTGGTATTTTTTAGTGCCAACCTTACTTTCCAAAATATTCCAGACACAATAGTCCAACGAATTGGTATCGGGAGATTTTGGTGGCCATTGTTCGTTGGAAATTAAACGAGGAACCTCATTTTGTAACCATTCTTGGGTGGCGCGTGTTGAATGCCATGGTGCTGAGTCCTGTTCTCTCACGCTTGCAAACAATATAATGAACTGTCACTGGAATAATTTTAACAGCAGTCGGACGAGTGGCTTAGAAATAACAGCAGTCTGAAGTTGGTTGCAGTTTTTTCATCTCACCCTGTATTTTCCGGGAAAAATAATCTAAGACAATTTTGCCGCCAGTCCGTCTATCCGAATAGAATTAAAATAGGAAGCTAAAATTTTGCACAGATGAGTCTTTTGTTCACAGGCGGATCAAGTGCGAAGATGGGCTATATCGGTCTACGATTTCGTATTGCCCCGATTTTCGGTATTTTGATGATTTTAGCCCATTTTTTAAAGGATTTATATGAAATTCTATGCAAGGAGATTTTTGTAAGTACTTTACTCCCTGGAAGAGAATTATCTATATAGATCCACGATATCGTATAGCTCCCATACAACGTACCTCCCGATATTCGGTATTTTCATGATTTTAGCCACATTTTTCAATGGAATGATCTGAAATTTAATGCAAGGAGTTCTTTGTGAGTATGTTACCCACTGGAAGAGAATTGTCTATATACGTCCACTATATCGTATAGCCCCCATATAACGATACCACCCGCTATTCGGTATTTTGATGATTTTAGCGACATTATTAACCGGAATCTCTTTAAATTTCGTATTTAAAGTTCGTAATGGATACTTCAACCTATGACAAAAAATTGCGTATGCAGGTCCACGTCTTCGTATACCCTACATATAACGGTACCTCCGTTTTTTCGGTGTTTCGGTGATATTAGCGACAATAGTCAACGGAATTGTTTTAAATTTCGTATTGGAAGATTCTAATGGGTACTACAACCTATGGCAAAAATTGCGTATCCAGTTCCACGTCTTCGTGTAGTCTCCATATAACGGTTTTCAGTGGTACCCCGCAAAGGGTTAAAAAAATATCTATTTGTATAAAAGAGTAGTGAAATAACTGATCGATTGACCTGGAATCAACGCCAAGACAAAACGACTGAAGCTAGAATCTGGAAATTTTGAACTAGGGTCAGTTTTGGTTGGGTTTTTGGAAATATGCACTAAAAGGGTAAAATGCAGAAAAAACTATTACTTTACTACGGAATGAGCTAGAATTCTGAATAAATATTTGGAATGAGAGTCACTGATGGAGTGCCGGAGAGATGTACCAAAGGATTTTTAGAAATTCGAACTTTAAAGTTACGAAAAGTTCTAAAATTGTACTTAACTTCTAAAAACGTACCATTTGTTATTATAAGATGTGGTAGATCTAAAAACTTGAGGCTTGGCATGATAATCAAGGTTGGAAAGTTTGGTTTGATATGGAAATCTGGTTTTGGAAATGTGTACTAAGTGTGCGAATTGTTCTAAATGGTACTAATCTGCCCAGCCCAGACGCTAATAATCCCAGCACTATCCCAAATTTGGTATTGAAGTCTCAATTGGTATCTGGAGTTGGTTTTCTGGAATGTGTAAAGCCTGAAATTTTAACTATATGTAACTTTTGGTGCCTTGGCTAAAATATAAAGGTGGTTTTGGAAATGTGTACTATAATTGTACGAAAAGTACTAAATGTTCTTAATTTTGGTATTGGAACTGAACTGAAATGTTAAAAATTGGTATTGAGTTCACTGTTGGTTCTAGGGTTCAGATATGGAGATGTTTAAATAGTTTTGAATGGAAAAAGTGAGTGTGGGTCCATTGTGCAACGGTGTTACGAATAACCTCCTCGGTAATCTTCATAATGAGAGATTTTGATAATTTTTTTTTCCGGAAAAGGAAAAACTTGAATAACATGTAAAACCTTGACCGTCTGAAAATTTAGTGCGATGTGTGAAGTTTGGATAACAAATATTGTCAAAATGATCAAATTTGTCATTTTAGTACTAAAATTCTAACACTTTACTATTTTTATAGGTGGACTTCTCGCTAACGAGCGGGCACGTGCTAGTACAACATAAATGTTTAACAATAGGAAGTAGACAAAAACTTGGAATAGTACTTGTTCTTTGCAGCGTTTTCTTCATTATACCACAATTTCCATACTCCCCTCGTACAAGTATGATCAATGTTCTCGGTGCATTCATACATTAATTTTATTGTTTGTGCTCATGAAAACGCTTTGGCCACTGTATGGACATTTATTGTTTCGTTTTTTTTTCAAAAACCGAAAAAAATATATTCACAAGTTTTTTTCTGATCGTTTTGCCAGCTAACCGTTAATGGGTGGGTTAACCAAGAAATGAGAGAAAAAAACAAACAAAACGGGGGTGTGTATTTTGTTGTCATTCTTTTGGGTGGTCAATTACAAGCAGCTATTTTTAGAACTGGGAAGTGCATTGCTATCTAAGCTGTAGGGCCGTAGTTGGTGATGTGATCTTTTGGGTAATGTGATACATGGCATCGTGTGTCTGGCATGCGCTCCTAAAACGGAAAACGGAAGTGGGAATTACCGTCTACACAAATAACTGAAATAGAATGAAGAAAATATTGTGGCATATTTTGAGTCCTTGTCCAATATATCTCGTGATGGCTTCCTTATTCCTAATTTTTTTATTTCACAAATTTAGAAATAAGTGCAGTGTCCATTGCAGTCAGTTTCACCCACTATTCTTTTCCTCGCCACACAATGTTTATTGTTTTCATTTGTGTGCGCCTCTTTAATTTTCTGTATTTCTTTTTAAAGAAGCGTGAACGAATAAAAAACGATTTATTTAATTAAAAATTTTCGCCGATGTTCGCTTAGATAAGTTAATTAAAATGAATTTTTTTCAATAAAACATTTATTTATTCTGGCTTCTGTATTCGACATAAATTGTTTCATCGAATTCTGGGAATTTATGGGCAACATCATGTGGTGTATATTAGAGGAGGGGTTTCAATTGTGTTGGTCATTTGTGAAGAATTATACAATTAAATGAATATTGAAAGAAATTTAAATAATGTACAGACATTTACGAGATGTCATCACCCTTGACCTTATAGAAATGTCACTTAACTTTTTTCTCAAATAAAATATAGCGTGTCATGAAATAGTTTCTAATCAAGATTTTTTTGTGATTCGAATGAGATTTGTCACTTCTAAATTTTATATATCAATGACACGCAATATGGTTCGCGTGCCTTGTTCATAAACAAAATGTATGCACCCGTAGAATTTTATGGGATTTTTGGATAATGAAAATGTTGATTATAAACGAGTGAGTTTACGAAGGTATTGCTGAATATCGAACAAAAAGTATAATATATAATATATCAGATTAAAAAAAAAAGAATATTTGTATGCCTTTTTACCAGAAAGTCGGAATTTTTTTTTTAAATTTTTGTGTGTTTGTAACACTCTTAATATAAATTTTAGATCCCCCAAAGTATATATATTCTTGATCAGCATAAAATTCTATTTTGATTTTGCGATTTTCGTCCGTCTACCTGACCGTCTGTGTAAATCGCTCTAG